AGTAGAAAAAGAAATACCATTTTCCTATATCCAGCCTTTCCTTAATGATAAAGAAGGACTTTTTAATAGAGATTGGTAGAATAATATAAATCATATCATATGCTGGTGAAATATTTATGGCCCATATATTAACTATTCAGCTTTCCCGATAACATTTCTCACATACTGCGGAGAAGAATGGATCATTTTCTGTCATTAAAACAATCTTTAGCGTCTATGATACTATTCACAATCCATTTTAAAAAGAGAATAGGTACCATGTGAAAATCTGTGTGGATGAGAAAATGAGAGTGACCGAGTCCCACCTGATCCCCTGGTTTGGGGAAGTCACGTGCTCTGCCCAACAGGCAGAGCAACTGTGGCTACCTAATATTTATCACAGCAGCGGCTGAGACGCCGGTTTTACAAAGATATGATGTCACTGAAATCAGTGGGGCATGACCTGGTGTTAAAACAATAAATGATTAACTTAAGCTGATAGTTCATGCAGTGTCTGGAAGCTGCCGGCTACTGCAGTGGTCCCATGAAAATTTAAACTCTCCACGGCAGCCCTGTGAGTGTGAGGCAGCATCCCAGCACCCTGGCATACAGTCTGGGAAGTGCAATCATAAGATCTAACATGGGGTTGCAGTCCAAGAAAAGAAGAGATAAGGTGAAGGCAAACTCTTTAAAGAAACTGTAGCTGAAAATTTTCCCCATCTGATGAAAGCTGATAAAAGCTGCGTGAATGGGTCAGCCTCATGTCCTAGGTTGAAACAAAACCACCACGTTCGGCACCCAATGCTGGTGAATGCGTACTTACTACTCAGAAAGACAGGCTTCATCTGCTTTGTTCACTTTTTCTTCCTGCTCTTTCTGGTAACACATGCAGGGAGAGAACACTGCCTGCTACTTGGGGAAAGGGCCAGATGGGCCAGACAAGGCCAGTGGAGAAGCAACACAGAACTAGCCAGCTGTTCTGAAGAGGGGAAAGGAAGGGAGCATCCTTGAGGGCTCAGAACTGTCCAGCCCAGACCACCAGGGCAGCAGGCAATATATGCGGCGGAGACCCTACGGGGAAAACCACAGAGCTAAACAGAGAGTTTGCCTGGAGTGGCGTCAGTCCTAATCTTCCCTGATGTGTTCTCTGCTGGGGTCCGTGTGGGGAGTTAGGGAGGTGACGTTCCACAGGGCTGCACAGGGCAGGACGGAAGTAAAGAAACTTCCTTATCTCCGAAGTTAAAAAGGAGTAAGTTCAGTCCTCTCATTTGAAACTGAATGAAAAGGTTCTATTAAAATACTTATTTCTCCCTTCTGCAGGGTTTACTTTTAGATCATTTACATCTTTCAGCAGAAAGCTACCCTGAAGTGATACCAGTGGGGAACATTCATGAAGATTCCAGTAATGACTTGTTCTGCTGTGAAATTCCAAAGTGGTGCTGTCCATGTGACCATTCCCAAAAAGCTAATCCCCTGGTAATCTAGTCACGTGACAGACAAGAACTACACTAACAAAAAATGTTGTAAATGGTCAACACTTGATCAGAAGAGTCTAAAGAATTTGCGATTGTACTGTATTGACTCAACATGTATTTACTGAGTGATTCCTATATGCCAAACATTAGGGACACAAGTGCCCTTAAGGTTTTACATAATACTGAGGAGTAACCAATGAAAAAGTGAACAAGTCAGAAAGGTAAATTCAGTTTGATTAAGTGCTACCATGTAACCAAGAAGGGTGCTGTGGGCCGGCTTCTGGGTTATGGGGGCGGCCACTTCAAACAAGGCAACCAGCAAAGGCTTCTCTGACATGGTGCCTGTGTGTGTTGAGAACGGGATGCTGAGGGGCAGGCAGGCAACTGCAGACAGGCCTTCCAAGGAGGAGGAGTGAAGGCAAAGGACAGGGAAAGGAACGAGCTCGGCCTGTTCAAGGAACAGAAGGGAGACCAGTCTGGCTGGAGTGCAGGGTGGAAAAGGTGATCAAAGAAAAATAGGTTTAAGGCTTATTTCAGAGCTAAAATCAAAATGACTTACTGAGGGACTGAGTGTAGCGAGGATCTACCTATGACCGTCCAGTGGTCCCAGGACTAGAAAGCACTAGGCTGCAATAAGTGCATTTGCCTTTTGTTTTATGACTGTTTTTAGCCATTTAGATGCTGTGAATTCTAAAACCATATTTTCCTCCGCTTTGGCCACTAGAAAGCTCAAAGCAGGATCTGAAGACCAATTTTGCCAACCCTACAAAATAACATGTACCTTCTTGTGTATTAATCTCACCCTTAGGATTTTTGTAATTTTCTATCCTAATTATTTTCCATATTAATTTATTTTTCTTCTGGTAGATGGACATTAACTTAGCAAGTTACTATATGTGATCTGATGAGAAAAAGTAGCAAAAATATGTCTTTTCATCGTAGTTTGTATTAATTGTGCTGTAATTAATATATAAGAAAAGTGACAGAATAAAAGTTCTATGGAAAAACTGCAAGGGGAGAATGAGTGGAAGAAAAAAAAAAAAAAGATTCTGGATAAAAACAGAAGGGAAGGATCAAAGAGAGGGAGAGGCATGGTTTCTGGAACCAGACTGCCTGCATTCCAGCCAGGCTCTAAAAATCCCCAGCTGAGTGACTGGAGCAAGTAACTGACTCCTCTGGCCTTGGTTTCCTCATCGGTGAAATGGTGACTTTAGCAAAACAGTGCCCGCCTCACAGGGCTGTTATGAGGCTTAACCTAGTTAATATCTGTGACGTGCTCGGAAAGCACTCAGTCAGTAGTAGGCACAATGTGAGTGTCTGTTAAAGTAAGTTTCAGTTCGGGATGTAAAGACAAGTAGGACTTAAACAGGTGAGAGGGTTAGAGAGCGGAACCACAGACTTGCAGACACAGGAGCAGTGAACAAAGGTTTGGAACGGCAGAGCACACCCTTTAACCCAGTGGCTGTGTCGGGGGAGGCAGGCGCTAAAGCAGGAAACCTGGCAAAGTAATGAACAAGGACCAACTGGGAGAGAGGTCTTAAGAAAAAGAACAGAAGGGCAACTGAATGCCTCTTAGAGGAACATGAATTTCACACTGTAGAAAACAGAGTATTTGAACGATCTGGTGCCACGCAAGCCCACAATCCCATGGAGGGAAGAAGGCGGTGCCTGGCTCCTTGGCACGTGGGGAGCGGAAGTGCCCCGCGTCAGGTGCTGGATCAGCACGAACCAGCCGTTGCTCCACAAGCGAACCACTGGGTCTGAAATGTGACCTGAACGGTATTTCCATCCCAAAATACCCACTACCAAGGCAACGGAAAAGCTTAAAATGGCAAGCAGGGTATAGGCTGTCACCAAGAGGAATAATTTTTCATCTGGGCAGATGGAGGTATCTCTCCGGATACTACACTCCCTCAAAACAGAAAGTTTCTGCTTTCCTTGTCGATTCATAACATAACATTTTCAACTTAACTGAAAATGAGACAACTAGATTAGAAATTATCTTCAGTAAAAATGGAAGACCTGGTCTAAGGAACAGGGCATCCCCTAAATGATGGCACTGCACGTGCTCTATTATCTATATTCTCTATCCAAGGGATATTCATTCTGTGAATGTTGCCTGATTTAGAGAAAAGGGCCTTTGCAGATGTGACATTAGGTCGAGAATCCTGAGACGGAAACACTACCCTGGATCACCCAGGTGGACTCTATAAATACAATCCCATGTATCCCTCTGTGAGGGAGGCAACTGGAGATGTGAGAAGGCAGCGCTAAGAAGGAGAGAGAGCAGAGTGCGATGGCCTCAAGTCAAGGACCGCCTACAGGCACCAGAAGCTGGGAGGGTCACCACGAAGATTCCCCCCTACAGCCTCCAGGGGGAGAGCGGTCAGTACCTTGGTTTTAGCCTAGTAAAGCTGATTTCAGACATCTAGCCTCCAGAACTATGACCAATTTCTATTGCTTAAAGCCACCAAATTTGTGGTAATTCATTGTAACAGCCACTGGAAACGAACATAGCAAATACGTAATTTCCTATGAGTGCAAGTAAATTATTTAACAGGAGAAATGGAAGTGATAGAGATTTACCGTTTACTGAGAACAGCTACATAAATTATTTCATTAAATCATCAGCAGCAATCCTATTATTATTAGCCTGTTTTTTACAGAGAAAACCCACCTGGTACCACGCCCAGATCTGTGTTCCTTTTACGGTGCAGTAACACCTGTCTGTAACTGCTCTGACAGCGTGTCGATCAGCACTCAGCAGGGGGACTCACTTTTTATTCCTCCAAAGGAACTTGGATAAATGGAAGAAACCTATTTTAAATTATTTCATGCAAAACTCTACCTGAAAAAATATATACAGTCACCAGTGAAAAAAAGTCTGTGTTACTAATTTCCACTGAGTTCTTCTGGGGGCAAAAATGCAAAAATTAAAAATAATTTTCAAATAAGTTTGAGAGTCACGTCTCAATTTATAGTTTGCTTCAATTGACTTACGAATTCATTAACATATTTTTCATGATAAAAGCAGTCATGATTCCGAGACAGAAATAAAAATTCAGCGTGCCTGGACAAGCTTCGGAGTTTCAGATACCACAGAGCATTTACACGGTTCACAAAAGGACAACAAGCATCGGGACACTCACCTGGTACCTGACACTGCTCAACACTGGAGGTGCGGCAATGAACTAGCCTGGTACTGTCTGCGCTCACTGGGAAAACACAAGCTTCCACTATCTCCATTTGTGCATCAAAGCTACGACTTACATTCAAAGAATTAGGGGATTAATAACTTGAGGGTGATTAAATAAACTTATCTACAGTCATTAGCTAGTAAGTGGTACAGGTTATATTTAAGCCCAGGAATACCTCAGTCCACAGTGAATCCTCTTAATAGGACACCATATTGCCTGAATGTATTCCTATAGGCTTTGTACCAATACACTGGTAAAGTCGCTTGCCCGTTAAAAAAGGAAACATTAAAACTGTTGCCATGGTACCCTATTCTAACAACAAAAAGGTAAGTCAATTAATCACACCTACCTGGTTACTGCTGGGGTTGGTACACCTCTTGTACGCAAGGTAGGTTTCCCTCGAACAACTGGCACATCTGCGTTTTCTGAACCACCATTCAAATATGTCAATTCCTGGAGCTGTGCTTGCCTGATTTCATCATTATAGTCCTACACAAAAGACAGAAGATAACAAAGAATTTAGGACAAGAAGCAAATAATTTTTAATAGGAAAAAAAAAGGTAAGGAAAATAGTTAAATTCATAAAATAAGACTTGAGCTTGTTGAAATGAAAATTTACCAATAAATTGTTGTAAAAAGAAAAAAAACAAACAGTATTCTCCCCCTAAACTAGAATTTTCTACAGTCAGCCATATCTCCTTCTGCTGTGCATACTTTCCAAGTGAAATATTTATAATAAAATTAAAATGGCACGTAACTGATATATGGGCATTATTATTTACAACTCAATCAGCTAGTAGTTACGGAGAGTCTAGTTTAGCCAGAACTATCTAAAGAAAGAAGAACAAAGTTGGAAGACTGGTATGAACTCATTTCAAAACTTACTATAAAGCTATAGTAATGGAGAATGTATGGTACTGCCTTAAAAGACAGACATAAAGATCAATGAAATAGAATTGAGAGCCCAGTTATCCATTATAGTCAATTGATTTTCAAATAGTCTCTAACAAATGGTGCTGTAACAAATAAATATCCACATCAAAAAAATAAGATGGGCCCTTTACTTTCTGCCATACACAAAAATTATATCAAAATGGATCAGAGACCTAAATGTAAGAGCTAAAACTGTAAAACTCTTGAAAGAAAACGTGAAAGTAAATCTTCATGATCCTATATTACATAATGATTTCTTAGCTAAGATACCAAAAGCACAAATGAAAAAACAGTCAAATTGGACCAAGTCAAAGTTTAAAACTATTGTGCCACAAAAATACCATCAAAAAAGTGAAAATACAGCCCACAAAATAGAAGAAAATATTTTGAAATCCTATTAGCTGATAAGCAACTTGTATTCATAATACATGAAGAACTCTCACAGCTCAATAATAAAAGGACACATAACCTAATTTTGAAAGGATAAAGGATTTGAATAGGCATTTCTCTCTAAGAAAAACAGAAAGTAAGCCCAAGAAAAGAAGCTCGACATTATTAATTATTATGGAAATGCAAACAAAAACCACAATGAAATACGACGAACATACTCCCTAGGATAGCAGTAATCAAAGAGATAAGCAATATCAAGTGTTGGTAAGATTGCAGAGATACTGAAACCCTTACAACTTTCTGGTGGCAATGTAAAATGGTCCAGCCACTTCGGAAAACCACATAGTAGCTCCTCAAAAATGCTGAACAAAGAGTTACCATATGACCTGGCAAATCCATTCCTAGGTAATACCCAAGAAAATGAAAACATATATTCATGCAAAAATGTGTGCATGAATGTTCACAGCAGCATTATTCATAATAGCCCCAAAGTAGAAACAACCCCAAAGTCCTCAACTGATGAGTGGACATATAAAATGTGGGATATTGTAAAATGGAATATTATCCAGCAATAAAAAGCAACTTGAATGAACCTTGATAACAGTATGTTAAGTGAAAGAAGTCAGGGCAAAAGACTACACATACTGTACGTGTTTTATATGAAATGTCAAAAAAACCCAGGGAAATCTAGAGAGAGAAATTAGTGGCGATGTAAGACAGAGGAGCGTGAGAAGGTAGGCGAGCCAAGTGGGAGGGACTGCTAATGGCTATGGAGTTCCTTTGGGGGATGATAAAAATCTAAACCAGTTGGTAGTCATGGTTACAAAACTGTGAATATACAATAATCCAGTGAACTGTATACCTTATGGGTAAACTGTATGGTATCTGAATTACATCTCCATAAAAGCTGTGTAAAAAGAACAAAAACTAATTAGTGGTTGCCGAAGGTGGGAGAAGAATGGGGAGTGACGGCTGTTGGTTACAAGGTTCATTTGGGGAGGTAATACAAACGGCCCAGCTGAGATTAGGGGGACAGCTGCAGAACTCTGCGAATATACTAAAAGGCACTGAACTGTATACTTTATATGAGTGAATTTTATGCCGTGTGACTTATATTTCAATAAAGATATTAAAAGGAAAAAACACCACACTGGAGGCAGAAACACCAGATGGAAGCACTTAAGTAATCCCAGTACGTGGTAAAGATGGCCTGGAGTAGGGAAGTGGCAGGAAGGATGGTGACAGGTAGATATGGAGTTATTTATAATGCCTAATTTTATTAGAAATGGTAAAATATTGGATATGGGGGTATATGAGCAAAGTCAAGAAGTTTGACTGGTTTCTGGAAGATAAGGAGAGTAACAAAGTGACATCATGATTTAATCAATTTTGTACAGGTCGAGTCTGCAATGGTCTATAGCACACAAAAATTGAGCTGTTGTAGAGCAATCAGACATAGGAACTAGAAATTCAGAAGTTAAAGATATGGATACAGAAGTGGAAAGGAAGGCCCCACACATTACAGAGAAGGGTGTGTCATCACAGCTGGCCCTTGGCAGGCTCCTGGCAGATAACCTCTGAATCCGTGGTGGGTTCTGCCTACTAACAGTATGCTCCTTACCATTTTACTAAAAACGTGTGATTAATAAGTTAGTTTTAAAGCACATTCTAAATAAAATGTGCTACCTAAATGCTGAATATTGGCCCTGTTGAAAAGTGTTAGGAGGCAGGACATAAAATTGTATGTGGTTAAAAACTGATTCATGGGAAAAGAAGATAACTGAGGCCCTATTCAAAAATACAATTAAAAATTTAAAAAGAAAAATAAAAAAAAGAAAAGCATTGCTCTAAGTAAAGTTAGGTGATTTACAGTGGTGCCACGAAAACTAGAATTAAAGCCTATTTTAAACATCATCTGTGTAAAAGTACATTACAGCAGACAGTGTAGTTAGGAGGGAAAAAAAAACCCCAAAAAGCAAAAAAACGGAATCTGAGTCAATCGCATCTGAGGTTAAGCCTGAATTTACCCAATCGGGCTGACCAGCTACGTGATTTTAGACAACTTCTTTAAACGTGAGGTAACTATTTCTTCTGATGTCAGATAGACACTATTGACATACACACTGTAGTTACAATTTTATTGGTCTCTGAAATAATGTTTTTAGATCAGCAGGGAAACCAAATCACATATGGTAGCTTATAGATTAAATTATTTTTACAATTTTACATTTTAAGCTAGTCACTAGTAAATTATCACTTCAACTCCCCACCTGAAAAGTGAAACTATTATAACATTAACACCAACACTGTCACCAATTGTGAAGAGTAGAAAATTGATTAGAATTCTAATTAAATATGTGTAAATGGGATTTCTCTAGCCAGTAAGTTTAGGATCTATCTAAATGTGTTAGCCTGGAGAATAGGAAAAAAGTCTTAAAATAAAATCATTAAAAGTAATTTATTAAAAATTCAGTGGGTTCTCCAACTAGCCAGAGATGTACTCTTCAGACATATTTGCCCAAATATGCTAATATTTATGTCCAAGGTTAATCCTGGGATCACTGTTTGAATTATAATCTATAAGAAGTAAGTGTCCATTATTTGAAGACTAATTAAATAAATTCTGGAACACGCATATAATGAAATATTATGCAGACATGAAAAAGGATGAGGTGAAACTTTACATATGCTCGTATGGACAGAGATCCAAAACAACCTAAGTTTAAAAAAAAAAAAAAAAATGAAAGGTTATGAGAGAGCACAGGACTTTCAGGATAACTAAGCAAGGAGCTCAGCAAAGCCTTTCCATAAAAAGCAACAATAAAAGCTGACCAAACAGTTAAAAACGACCGCTTCAGGACTCTGGAAAGGAGAGTGGGAGTCTGTGGCAATCTTGTGCTCCCACCCCTCCTCCCCAGCCCAGATGACGCAGAAGTTCCACTAGGATGGGGAAAGCCGTGAAAACCAGTGACGGATGTTCACCTGATTTTGAAGCAAGTGTGAAATGACTCCATGCCCAGCAGCACTGTCAACATCAGTAGCAATTCTGATAGCAAATGAATAGAGAAGACCAGTCAATCAGCAAGCCGAATAATCACGTTCTGGGTGGGGCAAGCAACAAACAGACTGGCCAATTAGCCAGAAATTTAACAGCCATGGAGAGGCTCGATAAGCTCTCTGCACGTCTCCGGCTGAATGGAGGGCTATGCACACGTACAGCAGAGAACGGGAGAAAGCTAAAGTGCCCCGCACCTCCTCGCCTGACAGTGCGTCTGTGTACGTACAAAGGAGACACGAGGATTCCTGGCAGAAAGGAGAAGCCAGGGCAGGCTGGAAAACTGAGTAGGCTTTGGATGTACTCCCCAATGCACACCCAGTTCCATCAGCAGACGGGGGAAGCCTTACTGACACAGGTGTTTGAGCACACCCTCTGACCAAATCACTGGCTGATCTCTCAGCAATGCTGACCCAGAGAAAAATCCTAGCAGGCCAGGCTTCAAAATAAAAGTGAGAAGGAAAACAATTAACAAAACTTTAAACCATGAAGGAGACAGACTTTGCAGGTTTAGTCCAACTAAATTATTAAAGAAAAAAAAAAACCTGCAACAATAACCCTCTGGGAATAAAGTGAATCAGAATCCGATTTACTACAATACATTACTTAAAATGTGGTGTTCTCAACAAAGACCTAAGAGACACGCAAAGAAACAGGGAAGTGCCACCTATACCCAGGGCAGGAAGAAACTGCCTAGGAGAGGGCCCAAATCTGGACCAGCAAAAAAAAAAGAGATTAAAAAAATCCACAATAACTACAATGTAAAGTTAATCAGAGGAGCTCAACAGCAGATTTAAGGTGGCAGAAGAATGAATCAGTGAACTTGAAGTTAATTAAAAGTATTCAGTCTGAAAAACACAGAGAAAAATGGATGAAGAAAAATGAGTCTCAGAGATCTGTGGGGTACCATCAAATGTACCAACATACATATAATGGGAATCCAGGGGATGGGGGTGGTGGAGGAGGAAGAGAAAGGCAGAGAAATTTTAAAGAAACAATGGTTGAAAACTACCCACACATTTGAAGAAAAACACAAACCCACATATTCACATATTCGCTTGAGATAAACATGTACACCACAGTCAAATAGTGGAAAATCGAAGATAAAAAGAAGGTCTGAGCAACAGCAATAGAAAAACAACAGATTACATACAAAACCACAAAACAATTAATGACTCTTCACATCAAAAATAGTAGAGGCCAGAAAACAGAAGAATGGCCTCCTACCACACAAAAGAAAAAACCATCGACCAAGAATTATACACAGGTATACTTTGGAGGTATTGCAGATTTGGTTCCAGACCACCGCAATAAGGCAAATATTGAAATAAAGCCAGTTATACGAATTTTTTAGTTTCCCAGTGCATATAAAAGTTATGGTTAACACTACACTGTAGTCTATTAGTGTGCAATACCATTATGTCTTAAAAAAAAAAAAAGTACTTACCTTAATTAAAAAATACTGCTAAAAAATGCTAACCATTATTTGAGCCTTCAGTTGAGTCACAGTAGTAACATCAAAGATCACTGATCACAGATCACCATAACAGATATAAAATTAGTAAAAACATTTGAAATATTGTGAGAATTACCAAAATGTGACACAGAGACATGACGTGAACAAATGCTATTGGAAAAATGATGCCAACAGACTTGCCTGACACAGGGTTGCCACAAACCTTCAATTTGTTAAAAAAACAACAAAACAAACACAGTATCTCTGAAGCACAATAAAGTGAAGCGCAATAAAAAGAGGTATGTTTGTAAACTAAGCTTCAGGATACAGGTGGGTACGTTTGTAAACTAAGCTTCAGGATACAGGTGGAATAAAGACACGCCGAGAAAAAAACTTTTTTTGCTAGCAGACCTGTGTTACAAAAAAGACTAAAGGAAGTCCTTCAGGCTGAAAACAAGTAACACCATATGTCAACTCTATCCGCATAAAGAAACAAAGAGCACCAGAAATGCTAGATGTGTGCTTTAATAGAAACGTCTATAAAAATACTGTACTACAAGCCAATATCCATCATGATTATAGATGTAATAATCATTAAACTATTAGGGTTTTTTATATGTTTCCAGCAACATATAAAAGGGATTACATATCACGACCAAGTAGAGTTTCACCTGGGACTGCAAAGCTGGCCTGACATCTGAAATCACAAATGCAATACGCCGTTATTAACAGAATGAACAAGAAAAGCCACGTGAGGGGCTCAATGGACAGAAGAGCAGTTAGCACAGCCCAACACCCATTTGTGACTAAAACAAACCAACAAACCCAAACCTCTTACCACCAGGCACAGAAGAGAACTTCTTCAACATGATAAAGGGCAGCAAAAGAAACCCCACAGTTAACATCACACTTCATGGTAAAAGACTGAAAACTAGGAAAGGGTGTCTATCCTCACTGCTACTCAACAATGCACTGAAAGTTCTAGTCAGTGTAATAAGGAAGAAAATAAAATTAAATAAAAAATTAAAGGCATCAGATATGAAAGGAAGAAGTAAAGCTTTCTTTATTCACAGATCACATGATTCTGTATGTAGAAAATCCTGATAATTCCATTAAACACACACACGCTGAAACTAATAAACACATTCAGCAAAGTCACAAGGTACAAACAAGATCAACTGCATTTCTATACACAAGTAACCACCTGAAAATGAAATTAAAAAAAAAACAATTCCGTTCACAATAACATCAAAAAGTATATAATACTTAGAAATAAATTTAACAAAAGAAATGCAAGCCTGGTATCCTGAAAACTATAAAACACTGCTAAGAAAAAATTTTAACATCTCTTAAAAAAATGGAGAGACATTTCGTGTTCATGGACAAGAAGGTGCAATATTGTTAGGATGGAAAATTACCCCCAAATTGACTTATAAGTTCAACGCACTATCAAAACCCTAGCAAGGTTTTTTTTTTTTTGTTTTTTGGTAGAAATCGACAAGCTGAATGTAAAATATACATAAAAATGTGAAGGAGCCAAAATAGCCAAAACAATTTTGAAAAAGAAGAACAAAGTTGCGGAACTTACACAACCTGGATTTCAAAATTTGCTATAAGGCTGAAGTAATTAAGAGTATGGTACTGGCATAAGGACAGGTATATAAATCAGTGGAACAGAACTGAGAATTCTGAAATAAATTCATATTTATATTCAGTTAATCTTCAACAATAGTGCCAAGGCAATTCAGCAAGGACAGAATTGTCTTTTTAACATATGGTGCTGGGACAACTGGATATCTACATAGAAAAAGATATATTTAGATCCTAATCTAACACCATACACAAAAAGTAACTTCAAGTGGATCATAGAGTTCAATGCAAGAGCTAATACCATAAAACATTAAGAAGAAAACACAGCAGAAATTCTTTGCGACCTTGGGTTAGGCAAAGAGTTTTCTGGCCAGCTCAGATTCAAGGTGAAAGAAGTTGGAGCCTACCTCTTGGTGGAAGAGTGAGAAGTGATGGGGTGGGAGGACGGCTGCTGCTACGTTTGGAGAACAGAGTCTGTCCGACTTGGCTAAGCCGGCACTCCCTCGTCCTCACTGAATGACCACAAGGACATTAAATCTCTCCTTGGTCTTGTCAGAGCTACAATTTTAAAGTCATTTATATAAATATCTGATTCTTACCTGTCTCTCCCATTATATAAACTCCATAAGGGCAGGGGCCATGTCTTTTATTAGTCCACATGTGTCTATCAAATAGAGAGCACTCAAAAGCTCTGTTTTTAAACTAAATGAATAATAGGATCATCACACTGGCTTGAGGGAACTAATGAAAACTCTGTTAAGCTCCCAAATTAAAATACTTAATATGGTCTTATGCCCTGGCTTTTCCAAGACAATCATGATTTAAAACGTCCTTTCCCTATAAATGTGACAGTCTTCCTCACAGATAACATAATCATGACACATGCTACAGTAGGTAAGTCAATCTACTACACCACTGGGAATCGCTGAACACAGTCACAGTCTTATCCCAGACAGCTGTTTGGCAGATGTGACAGTTTCTCTAAAATAAACTGTCTGAAGAACCAATGTGTTCAAGTTTTTGTTTTTTAAATCTAGAACATGCAAGTTATACAAAAGACCGAAATTAACTTCTGTAATGGAAATAGGGACAAATTCTCTTCAAATTGTCACATTCTCAGCAATGTCAGGGTGTCTGAAAAGGATTAAAAAAGACCATCAACTGTTAACAAAAACATAAACACCCACACAGTGCCTTCCTCTCTGTGCCCGCCGCTCCGACACCATCAAGCATTCCTCACGCTGCACAGAAACCACGTGCTCCCGCTCCCCTAAACCACAAAAGCCTCCTGTGGGGCTGCGCTTACTCACGCGACACACCAACACTGAGCACAGCGCTCGGCACGTGGACCGCACCAACGAGCTCACGCTCGAGAGCAACGAATTTGTGAAGTGACTGAGTGTCACAGCAAGGCTCAGGGCCTGAGACCCCAAAGGCACACCAGTGACTGTGCTCTTCAACTTTCTCGCAGCATTACCCAATCTCTTTAAAAATCCCTGGCCTCACAGGTAAAGAAGGAATGATGCCAAGTAATTCACAGGGACACTGTAACAGGCAAAGCGCTATGCAAATAACAATTACTGATAAGAACTGTCAAGGATTCAAACAAAGGGAGGACTTTAAAGTACAAATTAACTATCAAGAAAAACTGTACTAACCGGAATGAGGAACTTTTTGATTTCCTCCAGAGCATGTCCCATCCGGGCATAGGCTTCTGCTGGCGGGGCAAACACTTCAATCAGAACATGGAGATCATCATTGAGGTGGAAGTACTTTGCTTCTCCACTTTTCCTCAACTCTTCTTCCTGAAAAAAGAAAAATCATGTTTAAAAGGGTGTCACTGTAAGAAAAGAAAAAGAAAAGAAAAACTACCCGAGCTTATCTGGCACGTGGTTATCACAAGAGGTTCGCCCAACAGCAACCACCGCCGAAGGAAGAAAGTTTAAAACATAAATCTGATCTTGCTGTCCCCAGGCCTTTATGGAGACCCCAAAGGCTTCCTGCTGCTGCGGGAGGGGTCTCAAGTCCTGCCTCTGGCCCAGGAGTCCTCCGGCCATCTCCCCAAGGCCACGCGCTCGGCAGACTACCCGGCCCAACCCCTCCAGGCGCTGCAGAGAACCGCTTCGTGTTCCTCAGACTGGCCAAGCAACCAAGCTCACTTCTGCACTGGCCACCCTGTGGGCCCCCGAGCTGTCACAAAGCATTTACCACTATCTAAAATGCCTTACTTTTTGCTCGTCTATTTTCTAATTTTTCTCACTCAAGGTGATCACCATGGAGCAGAACCCATGATTGTCTTGTTTGGGGCTGCATGCTCCTTGTCTAGAAAAGTGCTTGGTAGGTAGTAGATGCTCAACAAATATTTTTGAATGAATAGGTAAATATTATTTATTCATTTCTATGTCCATTTGCTCATTCATACAAAAAACCATTTCTACATGCCAGGCACTACACTCTATCTGAGAATAAAACAATGAAAAAAATAAATGAAAACTTTTGTTATAGGATTTTATATGATTATGAGAAACATTTAAAAAAATTTTGGTGGATATAATGAAATTCAGGGGGGAAAAAACCCCAGATCATTAAGGGACCACTAACTTTGCTCCATTATCTTTTTCTAACAAACCTTTGTTAGAGTAGCAATTGCAGCATCGGGTTCTTTTAATAGTCTTTGTTCTCAACATTAAAACCAGACACAGAGATTAAGATTAGTAGGAACCTACACCTAGAGTGATTTCTAAACAGCAGGAAGCCTTCCTAGCCTCTCCAAAAAACCCACCCCGTAGGAGAGAGGACCCAGGAATTCCTGGCAACAGCACCTGTTGATTCCAAAATTAGCCAAGAGGATGACGAGGCACACAGGCCCTTGACTTCACCCCTTAAGGCTTCAACTTTTGTCACTTAACTAATCTGAATTTTTACAAAGAAAAGACATATCAAAATAAAGAGCATGAAAAGGGCAGGGGATTTAGAGTTAGATAAACCTGAATTTTAGCCATGGTGGTCACCAGGTGTGTGTGTGAGTTTGAACAGGTTATATGTAATCCAACACTTAGTCTGCAAAATCAATTTGGGGTTAACACATGCATATTAATGTAGGTCCACTGAGAAGACTACAAAGGCAGCTTGTGTAAAGGCCTGGCCCAGGAGACAGTATATATAGTGCCCAGGACACTGCCTTCTACGTGGCAGGCACTCAGTAAATGCTAGTTTCCTTCACATTTATGGAAAGTGGGCCAGAAACTGAAAGAAAAGAAGAAAAATATTTTTGAAGGGAAAGCAAACATAAGCTACCATAATATCCTACGCATTTCCTTCAAAATTTGTCAAGTATGAAAAGGACTATTGGGACTTCCCTGGTGGCGCAGTGGTTAAGAACCCGCCTGCCAATGCAGGCAGGGGACACGGGTTTGAGCCCTGGTCCGGGAAGATCCCACATGCCGCGGAGCAACTAAGCCCACGCGCCACAACTACTGAGCCGGCACTCTAGGGTCTGCAAGCCACAACTACTGAGCCCGTGCGCCACAACTACTGAAGCCTGCATGCCTAGAGCCCGTGCTCCGCAGTAAGAGAAGCCACCACAATGAGAAGCCCGCGCACCGCAACAAGAGTAGACCCCGCTCGCCACAACTAGAGAAAGCCCACGCGCAGCAACGAAGACCCAACGCAGCCAAAAAGAAATACATTTAAAAAAAAAAAAAAAAGAAAAGGACTATTCTTTCATGCCAACGGTGGACTAGTTCTTGTTCTAATCGGAACATTTTCAATCATTTGCTCTGACTCTGCCTTTCACAGCTGAAGTTTTAGAAACTGGATTCTACGCACAGTAGTTCGTCTTTGAAAGCATGAACTACTGAAATGAACATTTCTTATCTTTTTCTAATATGGCACCAAACTAATGCTTTTAATGAGAGATTATAATTGTTGATTCATAGGCAAACATTCTCATTGCTATCACAAACCTAAGCTGGAACAGGAAGGCCTTCTTACCATAACCACAGCTGTCACGCAGCTCCATAGGCTGAGCAGTTATGAATGGGTTACTTCTTGGGTTAATGATGAGAGGCAATGCAGTGTTTGGGGAAGAACACAGACTATGTTTGAAGTGCTGCTTTCAAACCCCAAATCCAATGACTGGTGGCGTTACTTTATCCCCATCCTGAAGAGGTGGTTTTAAAATGGATAATAATAGTGTAGTACCTCCTGCTCAAAGGGCTGTTGTAGTAATAAAGGAGTGATTATTACTGTCATTAGGAGTTATTAGTAACAAAGGAATTGGAGTAATTCGAAAGACACAGGAAGTCTTTAGAATTGTGCCTACCACGTAATAAGCACTCGAATGATAAATATAGTAACGATAACTATTATTACATAAAAACAGTATTAATTATTCTATTATTCTATAATATAGATGAGGTGGGCAAAATGTCTAGCATGCTTGGCACAAACTGAAGGCTCCACAGACCGCAGCATTATAGTGATTATTATGCTACATAACCACCTGATACCTGTCAGTAATGACTCCTATAATATCATCAATGTAGCAAATACAAGAAGAAAATGAATTACGTTCACATTAGAATTTAAATGGTGAACACTCTGAAAATCTAAAAGGATGAGATTTTAATACTAAGGAATGGAAATCTCTTTAGAAATAAACACTGTTAACTGAGAATTTTCTGTAGACTAAAAATTAGTAAAAAGGATCAACTGAAATCAGTATTCAGGAGTTCAGGCAGTGAGGATCTGATTACGATACAGCAGATGGGACACCTGTCTACTTAAATTATCACCTGTGGTTACTGTCAGTGAAGTGCTTTTGAAGGTGTAACTGATGGACCACCTGGCACAGCATGACAGGCGAGAAGGAGACACGGTGGGCCGGGTGGGGTGAAAGGGGCTGTTCCTACTGTACTGAAGAACTTAAAGAAGGACATGACAGACGCAGCACGCGGCATTATCAGTCCAAGACCCACAGAGCCAGAAGCATCCCGGAAGATTCTACTGCTTATTATGGCCACAGGCTGATGGAGTCAACAGACCAGGCAGAGCTCAGGCGTGTGCTAACGACCAGCACGTTGCCTGGTCATCGCTATGGGAGACTTAGGACGGTGTCCGGAGGACAGTGAAAATCTGAGAGCTGGGCTGGCAACATTTGGAAAGATTCAAATAACTCTGAGTATACGAACGCTAAAGTCCCACTGAGCCTTCCACACCGGCAGAAGCCTGTCTCGAACAGCCAAGGTAGTTCCTTGAAAGGAGATGACAATTTTCATGCTTTACTACTGCTACCCTTTATCACCTCCTGGCCTAAGATCAGATCCCTGCTTGCCCCAGAGATGCAGAGAACAAAAGAGCTAAGCTAAATCTAGAGGAGAAGGCTGCGTGGGTATAGTAACTGTAACGTCTCCTGGTGTGTATGCACTGGACGCTTCCTCCCAGTCTTCCCAGTAAGTATCTGGGACCTTTTACTAGAATGACTGCACACTGAGATGAAGAAACACTCATGCAGTTTGAGGATTCACAGACTAGGCTCTGAGCAAATGCTGAAGGCCACCGATGGAAGTGGGGTTTAGGGGCCAAGAGGAGAAGGGCTTCTGCTCCTAGGCCGTTGACCGTGGGCCCAATGGACTACGCTACTTCCTCAGTTTCTAGGTGTCTTGATGGAACGTAAATGATCAGCCACTTGCAGAATCCCCCTGTTGACTTGCTGACCCATGTGGTCAAGGACAAAGAAACGAGAGGATTAGTGAAGGGGTGATAAGTGGTCTGGGAAGAGGCCCAGGTGTGTAAGAACAGGGAGCCCCATGTGAGGCAGAGCATGCACTCAGTGACCAGGCAGCCAAGGGGACCCACTGTAGCAGATGTCAAAGCACCTCATTCCCCAGCCACCTCAATGCTACTCAAAGGACTCATGAACAAAGTACCTATGGTGACAGGGAAAGAGGTCTTGTTTCTGTTTGTTTGTTTTAATTTTTATTGGGGTACAGTTGCTGCACAATGTTGTGTTAGTTTCTGCTGTGCAGCAAAGTGAATCAGTTATATGTATACATACATCCCCTCTTTTTTAGGCTTCCTTCCCATTTAGGTCACCACAGAGCACTGAGTAGAGTTCCCTGTGCTCTACAGTAGGTTCTCATTAGTTATCTATCTTATAGTAGTAGAGGGTATACGTCAATCCCAATCTCCCAGTTCATCCCACCCTCACAGGGAGAGCGGTTATGCATTACTCCACAACATGGATTCCCCTCAAAAAGGGTTCCAAGGCTACTGCCGCTGCTGACTGTCTAATACGCCAGCAGCAGAGAACCACCACCAGTCCTTAAAATGGCAATATGGTCTGGGAGGACCACCCAGCCCTGCTATGCTATTTAGGATCCCTTTCATTAAATGCACGGCCAGGCACTTGCTACTTTTGGACATATAATCTGGTTAAAGACTTGCCTTCCCTGCTTCCCTTCTACCTGTAAAAGGATCTTTGGGGGCCCTGATCACTGCCGCCACAGCACAAAATGTTGCTTCTCACCAAGGAACTCCCTTAATAACAAACAAGAGCAGCACAAAGTCTATGGGCTTCACTGGTCATATCATGGACCTCATTACCAGATGGCCTTCCTGAAAACTTAATTAAGATATCAGCAAGGATGGGATACTTTCCAACAAGACACACATAATTTCTGACCAACTGACCAATATACAGTTCCACTTGCTCCTACTGCCAGAATAGGTGAGTCAGGGAATCAGAGTAACATCATTTGAGACAGTGGTGTTTAGTGAGCAGTCAACCTAACCTGGCCATGCATTAGACTCTTTTAAACACCTACTGGAAATTCATTTTGAGGTTTCACCCTAAACAGGTTGGTGCATGGGACTCACTCACTCTCTCTCTCTCTCTCTCTACACACACACACACACATACATACATACACACATACATATATACATACATACATACATACATATATATATATATTTTGGCCACACTGGGCAGCATGCGGGATCTTAGTTCCCCGACCAGGGATCGAACCCATGCCCCCTGCAGTGGAAGTGCAGAATCTTAACCACTGGACCACCAGGGAAGTCCGGGTCTCTATATTTTTAAACAACATCCCATATGAGTCTGACATATAGCCATGTTTTAATCAAATAATATAATAAACTTCCCTGATTAACCCAATAATATATTTAGTTTCTCTGAATCTCACTTTTCTTACATAAAATAAGGAAAATATTATGTATCTGTCACCATTTTTCCAAGGATAACATGGAGTAATGCATGTAAAATGTCTCACAGAGTACCTGACTCACAGTGGCTGCTCAATAAACAAATGGTGGCTTTTTTTTTTAATTATAAAAGCTACTGTTAAATGGACTTTTTGTGAGGAGGCTGGATTTTGTCTAAATAACTGTTTTGTCTAACAATCATTTCATGGAAAGTGATCACTCAATGTGGATTTTGTTCTCTGTAATGTAAATCTTTTTAATAATGAGAGAACAACAAAGTAATAATAGAACAACATAAGCGACAGCACATTATGAAATGTGAAAATTTCTTTCAGAATTGGTATATTTAAGCAAGTGATCAATAAAAATAACTCAGTAATTTTAGCTTATTTAGAAGAGGAGGCAGTTATGTGAATACATGCACGAAGAACAACTATGTGTTAGAATTGGAAGTAATTATTAAAACATTTACAATCAATTTTAACTTGGTAAAATGCATAGGATATCAAAAGAAAGGCAAAAAGGGCAAATAAAAGCATATACTTTATAAAGTCAACAATATGAAACACAGGCGTAGAAAGAAAGACCTGAAAGAACTAATCTAAAATGCAAATAGTAATGGTGAGACTATAGATAACTTTCATTTCTCTTCATGATAATTTCAATACCACTGTACTTTCTAGAAGGTATTGCTTCTAGAATCAAAAGCACAGGTGCTACTATTTCACTCTATAAATAAAAATAATAGTTACAGATTTGGTTTAAGATACTACATATTCTGAAACTGGCCAGAGTGACCGAATTTTCTAAATAGTATCACAAATATATCACTCTATATAGCATTTCCACATAATTTCATTTGAGGTCCTAGTTAGCTTTTATATAATATGTACTAATGCCATGGATGATCTAAAAGTACATTATATAACTTGACTAAAAAAGTAGCCACTGTTTATAATAAGTATTACCTTTGCCTTGTCTCTCATGGAGCCTTTTCCAAGGATGGACATTTTTGTCAAGGTTTCTTCTTGCAAGCGCTTCAGAGAATTGCCACGTGGCCCCAAAAGTTTTCCCACAAAGTTGAACTAGGAGAAACAAAAGAACAAATTTGTAACATTCATATCTGAGGAAAATAATTTATTTCTCGAATTTTAGGAAACACTGCAGTCAGTATGCTAAACATCATTGACTAACGACAAGTATTTAAGTTACTGCTACATGCATCACCCTATAATGTTTCCCACAAACCACATAAAACAGGGCTAAAACAAACAAACAAAAAAAGGATGTATTTCTTTCTACCAAATCACTTCAGTGATGGCTGTATTTTACAAATTGTATCAACAAATGAAGTTAATTCCCAGAATTCCTTAGTTGCCATCCTGACAATTTCAGCACGCATTCAATATCAACCACGAACAGTGCTGGAATTAGACTGTTGGTGAGGAAAAACGACACCAAGTGTCCTGTAATGTGCACTAAACTGGTCACCATGGAGTGTCTGGGTTCCTCTACCTGGTCAGCACTTAAGCCTCGGTTAATCAACCACTGAGTGCACTGGCCTAGATGAGTGCTACGCCTTCAGTGGCTGACCAAAGCTTTATGACAAAATCCACCTATCTATTTAGCCTAGATGCGGAGGGCTCTTTATTCAGCATGCAGAGTAGCAGTGAATTAATTAAGGGTACTACGGACTCTGAGGATAGACTGCCATGGTTGTAAAACCTGGCTTTTCCATTTTCCTGCTGAGTGACCCTGGGCTCGGGGTCACTAGGCCTTGGTTTCCTCATCTGTAAAGTGGGAATGATGAACGGCAATAGGACCTCCCCTTGCAGGGTATTTTGAGGATTAAATGGGTCAACATAAACAAATCACTTAAACAATGCTTAGCACATTAAAAGAGAATAAATACATACAACTGAATGAAATAATTATTGATAGGAATTTCACACAACTTCTAAAAGCCTTACAATAATTATGAATTCTTCTTGCTTCCAAATAGAAAGTCAGCCCTATTTACCACCAGGATTCTTGATCACAAACTCACGTAGTTGCTGCTGTGATATCAGCCACCTTCCATGAGCCATGCCACTGCTGTGCCATTGCTGTTTTTAAGACAAAATCGTTCCTCGTGTCTCTAACTATGGTAATTAAAGTAATTTTCCTGAAATATGTACTTTTAAAAAGTCAAAATGGTATTTTTTCCTTGCCCACTTTCCATTTTATTGGTCTTCAACAAAAACTAAATTGTCTATTTTTAACCTTTACATGTCATCTTTTTTTTGCTTTTTAAAATTTAATTTTAAGTAAATTACTTTTAAAAATATAGAAGTGAGGTCTACAGAGTTTAAAATATCAAATACTACTACAAGGTGCGGGGAGGGGGGGGGAATCAATGTCTCAACCCACCCTCCCTCATTCTTGTTCCCTGTTTTCTCTGCTTTATCTTTCTGGAAATCCTACTATCGGATATTGAGCCTCCTGAGTTGGATCTCTAAGTTTCTCTGATTTTTCCTCCCTCTGTCTTACTTTCTGGGAGATTTAATTACGTTTCCTACATATCTACTGATTCTCTCATTTCTGCTACCACATGTTTCACTACTAACAGCATTTTCTTATATCTGTCCCTTCCTTATGGCACTTTGGAGACATTTCATGGAAGTAATACAAATTCTTATCCTCCTGAGGCGTCAAAGGCGGTAGCTGTCCCCTCCCCGACGCCGTGGAGCTCACAGAGCCTGCTTCTTTCCACAGATTCCCCTTACCCTCCACGCTCTCAGAATCTGTTTCTTGCTACACTATGGCCTTCCCTCACATGACTGGTAATCCTCTATTTGTTTCTAAAAATTTTAAATTGAGGCTCAAACAGGCTACCTGGATGTTCTGCTTTCATACATGCAATCTGACAACTGGACATAACAATTCACTGCAACACAGCAGCCCACTTTTTTCACCCAAAGCTACTCAAATATCAGTATCTGTATTTCTTTTTCCTTGTGCTAGGCATTTCCCTGAATAGGAATTCCCCAACTTCCTAGGAGGAGGTACATAACCCTGGCTGCCAGAATACGAAGAATCCCATTATGAAGCACACACACCTCTATTTAAAGGAAATAATTCCCACATTTTCAGTGTGGCATCTCACTGCAGCCCTCAGCTGTATCCATCTGGGTCTTCGAACCTAAAGTTTCTCTTATTCAAACTCTTCAGGAAATCTCTCGTCTGCTGCTAGGTTAAGAAGGGCAGACGCCTGGTTTTCTCAGCTGGGGAGAGGATCCAGGGATCTAACTACTTCCATGCACACTTTCCACCAAGTTCCCTCTTGTCAGTTCCACCCCATAAATTCACATGCAGCTAACTGGTATCTACAATTCCTGAGTCTTCTCGAGGTTTTCCCACACTAATAGGCATGTTTCTGGTTGGCTTTCTCTTGCCCTGCAAGCTCAGGATTCTGCTTTCTCTGGTCCTCACCAAAGAAAGTCATTACCATTTATCCATGTATTTTGCAGCCACCAAAATTTTTTTTTCTTTTTTTTAAACACCTTTATTGCAGTATAATTGCTTTACAATGGTGTGTTAGTTTCTGCTGCATGACAAAGTGAATCAGTTATACATATACATATATCCCCATATCCCCTCCCTCTTGCGTCTCCCTCCCACCCTCCCTATCCCACCCCTCTAGGTGGTCACAAAGCACCGAGCTGATCTCCCTGGGCTATGCAGCTGCTTCCCACTAGCTATCTGTTTTACATTTGGTAGTGTATATATGTCCATGTCACTCTCTCACTTCGTCCCAGCTTACCCTTCCCCCTCCCTGTGTCCTCAAGTCCATTCTCTACCTCTGCATCTTTATTCCTGTCCTGCCCCTAGGTTCTTCAGAACCTTTTCTGTTTGTTTTTTAGATTCCATATATACGTGTTAGCATACAGTATTTGTTTTTCTCTTTCTGACTTACATCACTCTGTATGACAGACTCTAGGTCCATCCACCTCACTACAAATAGCTCAATTTCATTTCTTTTTATGGCTGAGTAATATTCCATTGTATGTATGTGCCACATCTTCTTTATCCATCCATCTGTCAATGGACACTGAGGTTGCTTTCATGTCCTGGCTATTGTAAATACAGTGCAGCACCGAACTTTACTAACATCGTTTGTCCATTGTTGTCTCACACTCCCATTCTTATCTTCATAGATCAGTGCCTTTTTAATTCATTTATATTCATTTTAGCAGGTTTCAAGGATAGCATAAAAATTAATTTGTATTCAAACAACCATATTTATATCCCGTCTGTAACAGTTAAATATCTCCCAATTAATAAAAATTAAGAGACCTTAGAAAACATCCAGTCCAAACATCTAATTTCATACTGAGGAAACTGAAGTCCACAGAATGATATGATTTACTCAAAGTCACTTGATAAAACATAAAACCACGAGATTCCATATAAGAAGGAAGAGCATTTTATCTGCAGTTTTCTTTCTCCATTTAACTTCTATTAGTCTTTTGCTCACAAAAAGTATACAAACGCACATTTTGACCATCGGAAGCACTTCTGTTCTCTTCTTTGTCACCACACACTGCGCATTAGCTGCATCACCCTGGTCAAGTTACCCCCGTGAATTGCAGACGCCTCATCCACAACACAGGGGTCAACCGCTTACTGCGGGCGCCTGATGTATGAATTAATACGAAAATGCACAAAAATCACCTAGCAGAGCAGCCGACAGGCTGTGCACTCTCTGTGCTGACAAATCAGTAAGTAATGAGTGGATGAATTTATCTATCGTGAACATACATAAATTGGGGTGAACAATGCCCACCTTGTACGTGTACAAGGCTGCCGAGAAGCCACCACCTGGAACAACACGGCCGCACCCAGGCCACCCAGGTGGGTCGAGGGGCTGAGCTCTGTCTGGGAGTCGGGGTGTGAGGTAGAACCAGGCATGTGGATGCTGAACGTCTGCACAGCTGAGCCACACAACGGCGATGGGCTTGGTTGCCTGACGGGGGTCTCCACCCAGGCTGCGTCGCCTCCCCGGCAGGCGTTTGGAGATGGCCAGAGTACCTGGTGACAATGACTGTGGGCCACCACTGCATTAGTGGTCAAAGGCCTAGCAGTCACACATCAGCGTGGATGGGGCCGCCCTTCACAGCGAGGAAGGGGCCTGTGTAAAACGTCAGTCGTGCCTGTTCAGAAGCCCTGCTGGCTGAAAGGAGGAGCTACAGACCTGTTGCTTACTCTGCTTCTTCGGCTCGGAGCCCTTGCTCACCTCCCCAGCCTCACCACTCTCCTGCTTTTGACTTTAGCCATTCTGGACTCATTGCAGCTTCTCAAAATTACCGTGTTCCAAGAACTACCCATTTCAGCTCAGATGTAGAGCTTGTAAAGAACGTCAGTTTCACCCTTAAAACAGGAAGAAAACGGAACAGAATACAAACTAATGCTGAAGTGCCAAGGCAAACACTAACCACACAGCTGGAGAGAGTACAGGCACCTGCGGGGAGAGATAAGACTCAAGCACCTGTTTCTTTGGACGGGGGACGAGCATGAGAGCAGAGAAGACCAAAAGCCCAGAATTAAGAAACTTGATACCTTCTCAAAGGTTTTTCCTGCAGGAACTCATCACCACCACCACCCCCAACCCCCAAGTGCTCACAGGCAAGATCAGGGAAGGATCCTGAGACCACTTGCCCTGGCTAGTGGGGGAGAGGAAAACAGCCTCTACTGAAATCTGCTCAGAGCCACATCCCCTATCTCTCCTCCTGATCTGCAGGAGGAAGGGCAACAAAACCCACTTTGCTTTGTTTCTTAAAATATTGACAAAATCAACAACACAGGTACTGACATCAGTGTCCAGCCCTCAGGAAGTGTTATTCTCGCTACAACACTGGTGAAATGCAGACATGTTCTAGGTGCTGGGTGAAGAACCGAAACAAGCAATGGCCGCGTCCGTACTGAGCCCCATCTGCTCACAGAAGAGCCGGATGACAAACAAGAAAAACAGAAGCGCAGACACAGCGTCTGTTAATTACTGCTAAGCGTCTATGGAGGTGGGCAGAAGCCAACTACTGAGAGCGTG